TACAATAATCAGGAGAACCAGATGAAAATGCAAGACTTCTGTGCAGTTAAAAGATGAACAGCAGGAAAAGAATTACCACATTGTCACAAGACCACAAATCTTTTGCTATAACTACCGTGTAGATAGATATGAAATAAATAAACAGGATTTGGGTTCGATAACAAAATTTTTCTCTCGAATTTTTCACCGCCAAGTATATAATTTTCTGGCAAAAATAGAGAAAGTGTACTTCTATTGTTGCATCTGTTTGTAAATACTTTTGGAAATCAAGCCTCTATCGAGCAGAGCACTCCAAAACATATCCAAATAGTCCCTATCAGTTGCATACGAGGCATTAATATTCCTAAAGATTTTGAGTGTAACCATCAATCTCCTTCGATACATCTCATCTCCTTCGGGTCTTAATCCTCCTTCAATCATTTTACCTTTAACCTTCAATGCAGACTTCATATCAACAATCTTGCAGTAGGCATTTATCAATGTGTGCAAGTCACATATCGGGCTCGATTTTTCTTTCGGCAGCTTATTCGCGTCCTGTATACGGCCTTCCTCACACAACCTACGTAAAATAGCGTTAAACGTAACCACTGCTGGATATAATTCCTTCGACTCCATGAATTCGCGTAATTTTAAGGCCTCGTTAGTATCGCCAGCTCTGCAGAACCCATCGATCAAAGTAGTATAAAATGTGTAGTGATTTATTAGGCTAAAATTTTACGATTAAGAGAAGAAGTGATTTATTAGTTTATTTGTATGATTTCAAATCTTCATGCTTGAATGATGTTGGAAATTGGTTGTAAATTCAGAGTTCTTGTAAAAGGTGTACAGCTTTTATCTAGCAAGGCATTGCTATAGCTATAGATAGTTTTCATTCTTTCTTCTTCCTATTCCTTAATTAAAGCTACGTTGACTATTTTTATCTCTAAAATGTGTAATGCAGATAAATGATGTCAATGAAATTTAAATGTGTTCTTCTTCTTCTTTTTGCTTTCCTTGCATGGTATTGTAGAAAGTGGGTCTCTTCCTGTCTTTACCATTTTCCATAGCTTTGTATTAACATTTTAATAACTGTATCAGGAGGCTGTAATCTTTTGTTAATGTCAGTTTGAGCATTAAGTTGTTAGGCATATTTTAAATGATGTCATGTTTTCCGCTCATATATTTCATTTTACTCCTAATTCCAAGCTGACTTCCATTCTTATATTTTGCTTGCTGATGGAGGCATCACAAATTCTGGCCACATTGGCAGAGCTTTGATCCTTGGTGCTTCAACTATAACGATGAGAAGCTTTTTAGTTGGAAGCCATGAAGCTCCAAGAACTTATGTATATCTGGTTCAACAGACATTTTATGTTACAAAAATGTTGGATTTAATTTCATATTACCCTTATGGAGTTTGTATAGGTTGTATCGTTTGCTTTTCGTCTACATGACTTCTAAGTATTTGATAATAAAGGTGTTATGTAGTCTGCTTGCCAAGGCCGATAAATCATTATAGACATCCATATAATACTTCTTTCTCCAGCTATTTTGATTTTTTTACACCGACATACACCTCCATTAGCATCACAAGGGCCAGCAAGGCAGGCGGGGCGAACAGGAAGGAAAACATTGACCACCCAAGCAAGGTCGAAGTGTACAACCTGCGTGCAGGTCGGGTGACCTGGCCCAACGGGTATAAGCTCCCCATCCATATATAAAAAAAATCGAAAAGGGAAAAACGAAAGCACCATATCTCTCTTATTCTTATAAGAAAAAATAAGAGGCATTGTGCGCTTAACACGTGGCCACTTCTTTCTTTGTGGTGTTCAATTGTATGGCTTCCACGCGGCATTTTTTGGGCATAGACAATTTTATGATGGCTGTAACGAGGTGAAACGTATATACATCTGGTGGTGCGGGCTTCAGTTTTAATGAACTTTTATTACTTTGTTGATTGTTGGTGTCGGATGTCATTATATAGACTTGTCTATTCACTATTCATCAGTAATCATATGATATGCAATATGTCCTGGATATTGGAAAAATCGGGAAAAAATCTCAATATTGTATTCACCTAGAAGAAAAACAAAAATTGCGTTTCTAATACTGATTTTGTCTTAATAAATGCTCAATTACCAAATTACTTATCTTCACGATTATGCCCTCTCTTCACGTGCATTAACTGTGACTTTCCTGAACCTTTTACTTTTAGTCCCCTGATTTTCAATCCTTGTACTAATATTGCCTGGTGCATGCAAATTTTGTAGCAAGACAAAATTTATGAGGACTTGCGAAAAGTTATGGCTGAGTACAGGTTAGGTCAAAGAGATGTTTTTTCTTCTTTCCGGTCCCTTTTTGTTTCATTTTTTAAGCCTTTGAGAAACTCTATGTGATCTCACTTAAGAGAAAACTCCCATAGAAGAATTCTCCATTAACATGCACTATCTAGAGCCAAATGATGCTCTGCATATGAGGCTTCATTTGACTTCTCTTTTTGGTTTGCCATGTGGGTCATATTGTTTGTGTACATTTTTTTTTTTTTTTTTTAAGCATTATCAGTATAAGTACCCCATGAAGTTTAGCCAAACTACAAACAACTCCTTGACATTACCCTCTACCAGTTTGCCCTTTCATGAAGCTTTAAAACGCTAAATTGTCATTTTTCTTTGCAATTATGCTGAACTTAAGGGTATTCCTCTGCAGTTATATCTTTTAAAAACTATGATCTCACTTAAGGTTTGGGCTTCGATGTTATATTTCAGCTATTCGTTATATCTAAATGGTGTGGTTGGGACAGATGGTGGAGACAAGAAAGATGGGCGGCATGCGCATCTGGTCTGAGTGTTATCTATAGTTGGCAACTTTAGTACAAAAAAAATGAAACTTAAAATAACAATATTTTTTAGAGTAATTGTCAATATTTAAGCTCATAATTTCAGTCATGTTATATATAAGACACTAGTTCACCATTTAGATAGTCTTGTACCTTATTAATTCTTTTTTTTTTTTCTAATTGTGTGCAGATAAGCCTCTGGAGAAGGAGGGAATCCTTTGGATGAAGGAAGGAAACAGATGAATAATAATATTCATTCAGGTAGACGAACTTGATCCAAGTAGTCTATCTTGCAAGTGAACTTATTAAAATCTAAGTAGTTTTCGATTTTATGCTACTATGTTAAAAGTTGTTAGAGATGATACAATTAAAAACTAGTATAGAAATAAAACTCATATTATTTTTTTACCTTACTAATTACTTTTTTGACCTTACTATGTAAATCATATTATTTTTTTTTGTTTCTTATCTCATTAAGGGTATAAATGTCATTTCTACAATATTTTCTTTCCCTTCCATTTTTCTAACCAAACAAGGTTTATCATTTTCCCTCCACTCACCTCCTACAAAATCCCTCCAAACAAGGTAAAATTATTCACCTCCCCTACCCTCACCTCCCTTCTATTAAAATCCCTCCCCTCCCTTTCCCTTACTTGAACCAAACATAGGCTGAGACGCCGTGTAGTACTGCGACGGCACAAATAGGGCGGGGACTGAATTTAAACAAATTAGGCCAAATTGAGAGCTTATTGGTATACACGTGCATCAGTTCGCCAACTCAGAGCGGTGACCCGTCGAGAAGAGGCAACTGCGGACTCGTGAGCGCTTGTCGCCTCCTCTTGCTGATTCCCTACTCCGTCGTCGCCTTCTGAGTATGTTTCCTTAATTACCCGGGGAATTTGGATATCTTTTTTTTTTGCTAGAAACAAGACTACAAGAAAAAGAAGTTATAAGAAACAATGAATAATCCTGGGCACATTATTTTGGAGTAGCTAAATCAGCAGACCGCGCTCATGACCGCCGACCTCCGACAGCCGAAAGTGTCGGGCGAGTAGCGGTTGAGCGACTACAATGTACAGTGGCCGGCGGCGGCTCTGTGACAGAGGTGGCGTATTAGATCTGCAGCCTGGCGACGGAGAGCATCGAGCAGCACTGCGTTTGACGGCCTTTGAAGTCCGTTGGAGCACGGTGGCGATGTACTAGAGCAGAAGGTCTGTACCTCACTTTCCTCTTTGCTGAATAACTTGCTTTCAATGCTCTATAGACTTTCCTCGAGCAAAAAGGTATTCAGGTCCAATCCATGATCCCTCAAATTACAATAATCTAAATAGGTTTGGTATTTTAGTTTTGTTCGCTGAGTTTTGATTTACACGCATGTCAGGCCTGCTTGAGTTCTCTCATGCTATGGATATGTGATTCCATATGGCCATTTGAAGTGATTGATGGAGGTTTGATGGATAACTGATTGGCGTTGTTTTGTCGTCGTTGCTGTATTTGGTTTACATGTATTTTTTGTTTGAATTTGTTGTTTTGGATTGCTGGTGTTTTGAGTAGTAATTTCGGTGTTACTCTACTTTAATTTGAAGTAGTATGTTAGACATAGATGGAATTCTGTTTAGAACTCTGATTAGCACAAAGAATACTATGTTTATTGTATAACAAAGAAGAGCACAATGTCCCTGTTGGCTTTCATGTGTTCCTTTTCAAATTTTTAGTATGGATGTAATGAAAGTGTAACTAAAACGAAGGGAAACTCTCGGGTATATCTCTGTTGATTCTGACATGTTCTTCAGTTGATTCTGATACTTTCATTTTTTACCCACATGGAAGATTGGAACTTTTTTATTTACTTGTTTTTGTACTGTTTTTTCTTCGCTCTTTTCTCGGTTTGGCATGTACTGGAGGCCTACTGGTGATTCAACACATAAAGTTGATACTTTTAATTTTTGTTGCAGGTTTAGATGGAAAATGATGTCTATTTGTGGGTAAAAGTGGAACATAGCCACTGTAATTGTTACTACAGTTTTTGGGTTTGTGTTCTTTTCTTGGATCAATGTGAGTAAAGATCTCATCTTTTGTACTTTCTTATTGTTCTTTCGTTACCTTTAGTAGGATTTGATCTGATGTTTTTATATTTATTTATTTTTTCATTCCAGTCTTATAACTCTCTTTGTAATCAAAACGAGGTGGTGCGAGAACCTGACCTCGTGTGGATGACTGATGGATGGCTCAGGGTAAATGATGGTGATGTGGCCAAGAGGATGGAAGAAATTAGAGTTCAACGAAGCATCAGACCTAGATTAGATTAGAAAATCGGTTGGGACATGGTGAGTGGTGTGAATTTGAACAGAAATACCATTAGTTGGGGGTAGACAAAATCAGGAGGTATTTTTCGTGTAGATGAGTGCTTCAAAGTAATTTTATTACTCTACCTTTTTTGTAGCACATCCTTGAAAAGTGCTTTTTGTTGAATGTGTGTGGCTTTGGAACAACCAAAACGACGTCACAACAAAAATTCATTCTTGGTTTGTAGTTTAGCAATGTACTGGGACTTCAAATCTTTTGTGAATTTTGTGAAGAAAAAAAGAAAACAAGATGTGGTGTTCCATACGGCACAGACGTGATACCCGCTTGAGCTAATAAAAGCGGTCATATGCATCATACAGGTCAATTTCAACAATGTTTAGTCATTTTTTTTGCTTCCAATCTTATGCTTCTTTATATACCTGTAGTAGCCTGATTTTGTGAACTGTAATGATTTTAAATTTTGAGGAGCTCAAAGTTGACCCATCTGCTCCAAGATTCTTTAGGTAATTTACATGGATTGTACACTTAATGGCATAGCTATGAGGTTTCAAGATTTTTAATTTAACTACTTTTATAGGCGGGCACTCACAAATGTTGATGTTTGTACAAATTAGCCGCTCCAATCAAAGACCTGGGTGAAACATTGAGTTCTCTATATTTTGCTGCCCGTGTCAGAGGGTTCGACTTGGGTCCCGTTAGAATACAGATAGACACGAGTGAGCTAAAAAAAAAAAGACGAAAGCAATGGTAATCTTGAGACAATGTCAACTTAATAGGCATAATATATGTAAAGAGCTGCAATAACAATTGAGCTGCAACAATTGCCTATAAAGCTGTGTAATGAGGTCTTTATGGTGAAAGCTTACTTTGTTAACAACCAATGTTAAAATTGGAGATGAATTCGACTTATCATTACAAGAGATGATAAATTTTTACTGTATTTTTAGACTAAATTGGAGTCTGCCGACAACTAGTATAATATATCTCTACTATATATATATATGAAGAAGTATGTGCACTTCAATTTGTGACAAGTGTCCCATTTTGCTATTGTTAAAATGTGACAAGTGTCCACTTTTTATTACAATTTTGCCATTGTTTTTAGCTGTATTTTTTGGACATTTTTTGTTGACATTTAGAGGTTGATATCGTAATCTTATGTTGTTTTGCTTACATCTCAAGATTCTTGCCTCTCACACGCAACCATCACCTCAAAGACCAAATCGAACAGTCTTGAAAAAGCAAAGCCTCTCCCACACGCACATTATATCTGTCACAACTCAGAAATCGAGTTCCTCTCCTTTTCTTACAGAGAGCACCCACAATTACACGGGCTCCCGGGGCGGACAATCTCGTGGCGGATAGAACCAGAGCAGCGGCGTGGCTACACGGGTCAACCTGAGAAGATAGGTTAAAGGCGCCTGATATGATTAAAGCGGAGCAGTCAAATATGGTCCTAACGGGCAGCGGGGATCCCCGATCTGTGGGATGCAATCATTAGCGGCGGCATCACTTACAACGACGGCGGCGTCCTCGGCCCGGACTCACGCACCAGCAGAGGTTATATCTACTGACCACTGTAATTTACTCTGCTTTTGAGTTTGTATCGGCGTTTTGTGTTTTAAAGTTCATGAGTAATAGTTATCCATAGTTGAAGGATTTAAAGCAATTGGCAACTTGAAAGGGTTTCAGGATATTTGCTTTGCTGATTTTTTTGTTTACTTAAAAAAAAAATTAAAAATACAATAAAAGTCTTGTTCTGTAGAAGAAATGGATTAATCTTTGTGGAGTTAATTAGGTTGTCATCAAACTGACTATTATATTCTGAACCAATTTTTAGCTTTAGCAATACTTCACTCGCACACTTTTTCCTGTGCATTTTCCATTTATGGAATATTTAAGTTTGCAGGCAAAATTGCTTCAGCAGTGTTTTTATGTAGTTGATGATGATTGGGTAACCTCTGAGGTGTGTTTGCTAGATACCCCAACATTACAATATTGGATGTTGTCATATAATATAGTCCTTTCTCTGTTTTATTCAATTTCCTGCTCAAATACATAGAGCAAAAGTAACTCCTGCATTTTAGGCGTACCAATACAAAGTGTAAGAAATGTTGGAGGTGCAATAACTTCATAATTCTAACATCAATGATTTTTTTTTTATAGATCGATGAAATCTGATATCAATGTATGCATATTATTAGTAATTTAAAGCTTATCTAAATTCATGTCACGGTTTTCCTCCTGCAGATATGGCTCCACCAATTAAGACGCCCGACAAATCCCTTGTTCAGAGATAAAAATTCACCTCTTAATGCAAGGGTACTCTCTTCACTGTCCAGGAGAACTGTTGCTGCTCATCCTTGGCATGATCTAGAGATAGGTATTTATACTCTCTCGAAATTATGTTCAAATCTATGTTAGTTAAGTACATTTCATCCTTATGTGCATGTAATTATATGCTGGGTTTCTTGTGATTAAGAGCTTTGAAGCAAACTCAATGAGAACCTTCACATTGATTATAAATTGGTTGTTCATTCATTTTTATTTTTTTTTGTTTGCATCAGATTATATGCGTTGCTACCTTGATCAGCACACGTCCTTGAACTGCTTTCCTATATGGTCTACATCATTTGCCCATCATGTGGTAATTGGTAAATCCAAATGAATTGAATATGTTATAGACGAAGTCTTTGGTGTGTAGTTATACGAAGAGCTGGGAGAGGCCTGAATTTGAACAAGGATATGACAGCTTGACGGTGGCTGGTGGTGTTTGGTTCAGAGCCAGCGTTAGCCTAAAGGTAATTTGGTATTCTTTATCATATTTGGCAAATTTATAATGCTTTTTAGGTTTATGGGTTTAATAATTTATGATTATAAATAAACCTCTTTCTTTCTCAAGGTAAGGTGACAATTGCTGTTAAAGTTGGTGGAAGCTGGAAAATCCCGATGGTGCTGTGATTGCTAACAAGGTAACATGCTATGGAAGCAAAGGATTGAAAAACAAGCTTCTCAAGGAGGGAGACGGGTGGGAGAATTTTAAATGTAGAAATGAAGTTGAAGGGTTTATCATAAATGTTTTTTTTTTTTTCAACTTTGATTATCATTTCTTATGTCGACGAATGGTGCAGTTCATTATCCACACTTCGATGGATAGGACTCAATTTCATTCTAGCCTCACACCTCTCAAATTTAATTTGGGTCAAGGTACGTTAACCATTTGTTCAAACATTTGAAGTTCATTACTGAAAAGGATAATATTGAACTGTCTACTATGGCTGCAGTCGGGCGTTGATTTTTGCAATCATGGTAACCCGAGTATTTACTATGTGCACTTGGTTTATAGTCCTAATCATGAGAAATTGGTGCTATTCTCATATAATTTTCTGAAATTTGTTGTCCAGACTTAAAGGCTGCAGCAACATGAGAAGTTGGTGGGAATGGATCGACCACTAGACTCCCTTATTCTATGTACCTCCTTTCTGGTATTTTCTGCCGATTCATTTATAATTTGCTTTTACACAAGAAATCTATCTTTTTAGTTACACTGTGCTATGCGCAAGTAATTTCTTTTTCAGATGTGGTTCAATTAGAAAACTGGATAGACTTATAACTTTGCTTTTCATTGAACTTTATGCTCACTCTTGCTCCTTATATCTATCATTATTTACCTGGACGAGTCGTACAACTGATATTAGTCACGCCTAGGCTATAACTGTTACACATAAAGCGTTTTTGTTTTTTACATACCTCAAGTCCAGGGTATTTGCCAGATTTTTTTTAACCAGCTTCTAAGCTGGGAAAGAGATATCCATTAGTTATGGTAACAAGAAAAATGAGGTATGTCAAATGCTGCTGAAATATCCATAAGTTATTTCATGAACAATCGTGTTGTCTTATGCCTAAAATTATATTGAAAAAATTAGGGTTTCGGATAAGAAAACAAGCAGCTCCTCCTCCATAACCTTGCGCTTCTAATGGCAATCGCAGCCGCAAACTGCTGGTTCTCCGCCGTTGCCTCCGCCAGCTGCGCCACCGACCACCTCCTCTTCTTCACATCGAAGGGACCCACTTGTTTACCCAACGTTCATAAACCCTCCGACTACCGAAATCAAATCTTGGTGAGAGGAAAATCTAAATGCTACTTATGATAATCGTCCAATGAGGTGCACCAGCTGATTTTCTAGATTCTATGTTATTAAATTTGATGTTTTTTCTTTTCTTATGATTTGTAATTGTGTCTTGTAATTACACTTTCTCTAAGTGGAATTTTTGAATTTTATGAAAAAAAGAAAGTATCTTGGGCTTGTGATATCTTTGATGGTTTTTTTTTTTCTTTTTTCTTTTGGTGTTTGTTTTTCTAATTTTCTTTTATTTGATGTTTTAGTGTGAGGCTTTGTCTAATATAAAGGTTGCTCTTTTATGCTCTATTTTCTATTGCCATGTTAAGCTCACCATTAATGCTCTCTTGGATTATCTTTTGAAAGTATTTTGAAGAATGTGTTGTTTTAGTTGAGGAAAAAATATGCTAGAGTGGATTAGAAACCAGCCATAATAAGAAATGAAAGCAAGAGATGACAGCATGCAAGAGAGGATAGAAAATTGGTAGCCATGGCAAATTGCCAGAGCAGCATCGTCACTTTCCACTATAATTTATTAATTCTTGAGATGCTACGCCTTCCACACTTCATTTGCCCAACTATTTCTTTTTCTACTTTTGTTTCTTGAAAACACTCCCTCTGAATTTTAATATTATTTCTCTCTCAAAATTTCAATGCTTGTCGAATTTTCATGGAAAGACTTGTTGAACTCTAAAATTTTCTGCCCATCGTTTCCGTTAATCTGCCTAAAGATAGCATCTTTTGTCCCTTGTCTATGGTTTCTTTTGAAGGGCTGCTCTATTTTTCCACATGAAGCATTTTGATGTTATGATTGATTAGTAGTCTTTTTCACTCTGTTTCGTATAAGGATCGTTTTTCTTTCGACAAAAAGTTAAAGAATTGATAGCTTTTTGGAGTTCAAAGGTAGCATCTTTTGTTATACTTGAAGAATTTAGTGAAATGTTTTAAATTTTTAATGCTTTGCTATTTGCTCATTGTACTATTCTGTTGTGTCTGGTTTGAGATTGTCATTTTGTGGATTTGTTCTTTTTGCCAATTATTTGGAAAAAATGTGTTTTTTGATGGCGAAAAGAGGTTGGCTCACATGTTGAAATCAAATTGAGATACGGCCCAATTTGGTGGACACATGTCTGCTGCTAGCTTAAGCAACAAAAATAACACAGCCAGTATTTTGAGCTCAAACTCTATGCAAGAAGACATGGACTCTCATTCACTTGTAGTGAGGCTTTGGGTCATAGGATTTTAGATGCACATGCCTTTAGGAAGTTATCTGTTTAGACAGTATGCCTACTCTCCAATGTTTGTAAAATTGATTTGGAAAATCATTAGTGGATGAAGAACAAACATAATTGATTCTAAGTATATGTTTATTGACTTGGTTGTTTGTTTTCATTGGCTACCAAAGACCGTGACTTGATAACACAGTCAACTCTTTGGAAGTTCTTTTATTTGTCTTCTCATCCTGAAAAGCCATTGGAAGTGGTCGTTGGTGGTCCAAGTAGAGAATATATGTAAAGAATAAAAGCAATAATATAAGAAAGGATCTATAGACAATGTCAAGTTCATGAGATCTTTATGGTGAAAGATTACGTAATATATGTAAAGAATTGTAACAACTGTCCAAAAAATTGTGTAATGAGGTCTTGTATGGTGAAAGATTATTTAAAAAAATTGTGTAATGAGGTCTTTTATGGTGAAAATTATTTTGTTAACAAGCAGTACTAAAAAGGATACAACTTTGTAGAAATCTTTGTGCATATTTTGTCAAGCTTTAGAGAGCGCCTGCTGTGGTAAAAATTGGAGACTTCATATGTGCGCTCAGCCAAAGGATTGAGAAGTGAAATTACATTATATACAGTTAGTATCATTCATGTCGATGCAATATTTCAACAAAACAACTAATGCAAAGAAAAAGTATCAAATTATGACTAATAATTATTAATTAATTAACAATCTGAATAAAAATTAAATTACAGTCGACTATATTCAAATAACATACGAACATTAATTTTAAACTTTAACAAGACACAACAAAACTATGTGAACATCGTCAAAATTTATTAAACATAAACTTCATTCGTATCAAATTTAATAACAATGTTTAAAAAAATATATATACAAATCCGACTGATCATTTCAAGGGACGTCAAATTTTCACTGGATTTTAGACTAAATTTGAGCCGATCGTGCGTGCACGGCCGTAACACAACTACTAATATCTCTCTTATCTATATATGAATAAGTGTGTGACCTTTAAATGTTGACAAGTGTCCATTTTAGACATGCTTACAAGCTGACAAGTGTTCCTTTTAAATTACGATTTGCCATTGTCTTAATATTTGTCTTTGGGGCTCTTTTTTTGCTAGTTTTGGGTTTACCTTTTTGCTGACAATTTTTTAAGGTGATTTTATGCCTTACTGGCCCCTTATTTTCTTATGCTTTTGCGTTTTCGTGTGGGGCATTTTTTGCCGACTGCTACGGAATCCCCTCACACGCAACCATCGCGTCAAAAGATGAAATCAAACGTTGTTCGACCGACTTTCTTTTTCCCCTCTCACTTTTATCTAACCAAACCCATCATCAATCCTTCGAGGGCGACAATGGCGACAACTCGCAAATCAATCGTCTCCTCCGCCGCTCTGTCTAACACGCTCAGCCACAAGTTCTCTCCATCGGCATCGGAACTGACCGGCTGAGCAAACATCGCCCAAACTCTCCCGTCTCTCCTCTCACCAAACCCCAACCCAACAAACAGAAAAAGAAACAGGTAAAAAAGAAGAAATCGCCGTTGTCACCCGTCAGCAGCCGCACCATGGTGGCTGGAAGCATTGCGAGCCAAAGAGGAAGAATCTTTCCCAACAATTCGAAGGTTAGACTTCACCGAGAAAAAACCCTAACCGGGGGAAGGCAAGGAGCTACTCACTGCCCCTGGCGCTGATGAGCGGCGCGGTTTCGCTGCAGGTGCGCACCGCCACAGGAAGGCGGTCGGCTCATCATTTGTCTGTGTCTATTTCCGAGTCCAGATCAAGATCGGTCCCCGAACCCAAAACCGGTAAACTTTCCATGCCATCTGTCTTAGATTATTCATCCCCTGATTATATTTTTTTTTTCTTAACTTCATTTTTCTATGGATGAAATCATACCCATACGAGGAAACCATGTAAGAATATAAATCCATTTCAATTCCATAGTTATTAAGCATCGATGAAGGTCTTGAAAAAAAAAAACATATTTAATGCAGCACACATATACGAGTGGCATTTGCCCTTATCTGGCGAAAGCTCGATTGACACTGGATTGGCTTCGAGAAGGGCCTTTGCTGCAATTAATTTCGAGAATTTCAACTAACACACATCGAATTCATCATCCACCTAATCTTATTTTTCTTCGGTACCCGGTGAGGTCCGTGTCATTGAGTCTCTCTCTGGCGAACAATCTCAGCCTTAAAGTTTCATTCCCAAATCCTCATACTTAATTGAGATTCAGACAATCGGGCTGCTGCTTGCATAGATGCCACTGTCGGGGACATGTACGTTGCTGTGGTAGAACAAAATATGTTGTGTTAGATCGTTCTTCTTGGTGTTTTTCATTTTAACATACTGTTGGTGTGGTATTGTGATTGTTCTGCAGGTACTGTCTGTCTTTGTCTGTTCTGCGCTGGATATTTTCTCATGGAGTATGGTGCAGCTGGCAAAGGAAGCGTTGGTTGTTCTAATGACCAGGCTTGTTCGGCTGCAGTGGGATGATGCCCTTAGGGGATCGTCGGTGCGGACACACGCACCAGCACCGGTGAGATTTGTCTTTTTATTTATTTATTTATTTATTTTATTCATTTTATGTTGGGTTTCTTGTGATTATGAGCTTTGAAGCAAACTCAATGAGAACCTTCTCTTTGGTTATAAATTGGTTGTTCACCAATCACTTGTTTTTCCTTTTAATATCCATTTTCGTTAATCTCCAAAAAAGGTAAGTCTGTAGTTTTGGTAAATGATGATTGATGGGTGACGTTGGTACGTGCATTCCTGTTTTCTAGGTGTGGATGATATTCATTTCTGGTTTGCAGGAGGATGCGAGAGAGAGGTAGTTGTAGAATCTGCTGAGGTGGCTGCCGTGGCCGCTGGGATACGAGGTGTCACAGTTGAACTTCAAAGGTGAGCATCCGAATGGACTCTAGCTGTGAGCACAGTCAGAGTGTCAACGAAACGAGGATATTCTGATGTTTTCTTTGAGCTGGATTTGGCAACACGAGTGCAGGTTTGAAGATAAAAACCAAGTTTTTTCCTTTCTTCATGACAAAAAACAAGGTTCTTGATTGGGTTAGTAGTTCTTTTTTTGCAGTATGCTCTGAATCTGAATCTGAATCTGGAGGAGTATAACATTGCTAAGCAACTGAGGAACAAGCTGACTAAGATCTGATTATGTAAATTGTTCTCTAAATTCTAATCTTGGTCTAGGGTACTGTTTATGCTACACAGGACTGATAAGAAAAAAAATAAGAAAAAATATCTAATTGGTATTTGATAAGGCAGCTAATTTGCTACCTGTAAGTCATATTTTACAACCTAATCAGGAATTAGGTTTGTGTGTGTGTGTGTGTATATATATACATCCAATGAGCTTGATAAGCTTGATGTTCCTGTTAAGCTGTTGTGGCTTATAGCATGGATGCAGTTGATATGGTGTTCGTAGGATCAAATGGAGTGCTTGAAAGTGGTGGTATTATAAATATGATGGGCACCTGCCAAATTGTTTTGGTTGCTAAGAGCATGAACAAACCAGTTTATTAATTCAATCAATTCAAACAAGAGAGATAACATGGTACAGTCTACCGTGCCTACATAACCTTATTCATCAAACAGCAAAATCGTCATACACTCATTATTTTATTACTGGATTTATTTATTTATTTATTTCTGACCAGTGATGAGCATGTTTGGGGAGCGGCTTCAAGATGAGAACGAACCAATGTACGTGATGCACACAATAAATGCTCACACTTCCCAGCAATGCCCTTCAATACACAATGCATTGATTTAGCAATTAACTGATGCTTTGGTCTAAGAAAGTCTTGATACATTTTTCACTTTCTTGTGGAAGTTAAGAATTAAAAATATATCCCAAGTCTATTAGAATCACACGGAATCCATACTCTGCTGTGAGCTATCTGTTTTGAATTAGTATTAACTTAATGTGTTGGTTGTGTGGCTTTATCATTATAATGTTAATGTGCAGAGATTATCAGTAGTAAAAATTTTGTTTATGCATTTACATGTGATGAGATATTACTATCCCTCTTGTTGATTCAATTGTGGTCGGCATTGGGAGCTCTATGGGATATGGAACTACTTTTCAGGTTTTGATTTTCTATTAGAATTTTCCTTTAGAAAACTTACCGCCTTCCAGCTTTTTTTGTATCTTATATGTCTAATTATTTTATTTGCCTCGTTGCTAATAACAGGTGGTCGATGGTCATCAATCACTTTATCTGTTAGAGAGAGGAAAGAATAAATTGATGGATGGGAGGGTTGTTTTCCCTGGTTAGTTTAGTATTTTTCGAGCTTCCAGACAAAATATTTAAATGAGGTGAGAATTTTATCAAACTGGAAAAAAAGTTGATTATATGCCTGTAAATTATATTTTTAGTTACACTACCCTATTATTTAAGTGCACTTTATAATCTTGAAGCCTTTTATCAAGACGGCTCACCTTTCTTTTCCGTAGGAGTAGGCATGAACACATTTCACAAAGCATTGATAAGTCTTCTTATTAAGTAATTCGTGACATGAGTAGACATCCATAAAAATCTAAGTAATAAACCTCTTATAAATTACTGTTATTCTCCATATTTTTATAGTTTCTATTTGTTGATTTGGCGTCTCCCTCATTTTAGGTTCTTTATTACATGCAATCCCACATTCAGCTCAACGAATATCGGGATTGAGTGGTATGGTCAGTATGCTTGTGCTTATTCTATCTTTACTTTCTTCCATTATGATTAACTTTCAATGTGCTTTTTCTTTTCTATTTTGTCAGCCTGTTGCAAAAATTAAGCACAACAAGCACATAACCAAATGCATAAAGATTATAAATATGACTGGGTTAAACTTTGGCCTCAAGTCTTGTAAAGGCACATTAATTAGCATTGATCAGTAAAGATGTTTCTAAATATCGGCCGCTTACTAATTTAGTTTTCTACAGCTCATGACTTATATTGTTCAATCGATGGCCTAAACTACCCAGAGAAAATCTTAAACTTATTACATTGTTAGCGCTCCATATATCTTTTCTATTTGTTGGAAAGTTTGTCCAAATATTCTTCCTTAGGTTTCAAATGTATATTCTTTTTTTTTTATGTCTTTTTATCAGATGTCATAGTGTATAACAAGTTTACGTTAGCAGGTTATGAAGCCACTTCTCCATGAGAGGAAGAGGGCGAGAAGGAAAATTGATGTGTTATCCGGTTGCGGTCATGGTGAACTATTGTAGGTAGTTTCTTGGCTAATCTTTTTGGTGGCTTAATGGATTTTGGTGCATGAAAGCCACATGGCTACATTTGTGAAGTTTATAAGCAAATTAAATTTGATAAAAACTTATTCTTTACATTCAGATAACGGATTACTCTCCCCCATTCCTGCCGTAAGAGATCCTCTAGATCTTCGAATAGTTTACATAGTTTTTTCGGTCATTGCTTCTCTCCAGACCATCATTTTCAGTAGCAAATTTATAGTTCCATCTACCAACAAACTTCTGTTTGGAAACTGTCGAGCTAGAAATCAGAAATCACAAATCACAGGGTTCTGTTCACGTGACTTTGCCTTTGAATGCCGATGAAGATGACATTGTCACGACACTAGAATCGACATTAGAGAAGTTTAAGAATGTCGAAAGATGCCAAGAATCAGTGGGCTGCCTCAGAATCAATGAAAACAATAGCTAAGTTAACCTTCAGTACTTCACAACAGATATATACTATAGGCTAATAGAATACTTTTGTCTTTTAGTTTTCAAGACTTTCTGCTTAACTTTTTTATGTATGGATTATCTCATCATATATGCTTGTGGGAGTTTTGTGCTCGACGCCATGAAGAGCTTATTCCTAGAAGATGATTGATTCCTCAGGTTATTTTTAAACTTAAATATGATTTATTATAGATTTTTCATTTGCAAATTTTCATGTAGTATTTAATTTGGTTAGCCTACTGCCTTACACCTGATGTAAGCCAAGCAAATATTAAAATATTATTACACCTGATGTAAGCCAAGCAAATATTAAAATATTATTATATAATACCAAAGCAGGTGGTGGGTGTAATTTATCCCTCCTCTTATGATTATTGTGAAGTTAAGTTGCTGGAATATTGGAACCTTATAATTTTCATTGAATGGAAGACAAGTCTAGGTTTGATTTTATATGAGATTTGTACTTTACATTGGTAGATTCTTATTGTTTTCATGCATTTGGGTAAATATGAGATTCTTATTGGTTCAACTTTTATGTTTTGGACACTTATATTCGTATTTGTTCAGCTACAAATCAATGGCATCGAAAAGTTCTGCATCTTTTTTTCTCAAGAATCCTTGAGCACTCCAGTTCAAGCTCATACAAGAATCCATGTCACAAAAAAGGAGCTCGGTTCATTGTTAGAGCTGATAAGAGTAAGGTATAGGAATATAGCAAGAGCTTGTGTCAACGGATCCCAGAATTCAGTTTTTCTATTCTTTCGCTTTGACATAGTGTACTACCTTTATGATATCTTTTAGATATAATTTATGTGTATAAACATGAGTTTTTTATATTTTAGAATAGTGTTTTCATCCTTTCATGTAAACATGCATAATATATATAAAAGTTGCAACAATAATTGAGCTGCAACAAATGTCTATATAAAATTGTGTGATGAGGCCTTTGCGGTGGAAGCTTATTTGTCTTAACAACCAGTGTCAAAATTCGACATGAATTCGACTTATTATTGCAAGTGATGACGAATTTTCACTGTATTTTTAGACTAAATTTGAGTCCGCCGTGCGTGCACGGCGTGACCCAACTAGTATATATATATATATATATCTCCAATACATATAAACATCAAGGCTGATTCTGGAGCTGACACGTGTCTTCTTTTGTTTGTTGTAAAGTCCCTTCGATTTGCCAGGTTTTTACGCATCTGCCACTGACTTTTTCTATACATTGAATTACATTGGCCCCTTTTTTCCACTTGTTACACGCCGAGTTCTGTGAAATTACCATGGAACTTTTGGAAGACTGGTCTTCCGACCGGAAATTCTGCTGACACGGTGATTTGAGGGTTGTCCTTGGTTGGGTGAGCGCCACGTTTGGCGAGATTTCTTGCCGGGAAATCTGGCTACTTCTCTCACCTTTTGACCTCTGTCACTTCATCCTCTGTCCACCTAAAATACCTCTCGAAAGCTCTGATCAATTTTCTTCAATCTTTCAGCCATTATAGATTTTTAAAGTAGATTTAATTGTCGAAAATTAATCCCTTGAAAACCGAGGGCGATGGTTCTAGCGGAGTTCAGTGGCCTGTTGGGGATGAGGAATACGGCCGTCGTCGTCCGCCGGATACTTGAGAAGCTCTGCGACACTGTACCGTCCAAGTCGAGGTTGTGCTTCTCGCAGGATCGGTACATTTTTCACATCCTCCAGCTAGATGGACTTACTTTCCTTCACCTGTATGGCCAATGATACCTTCGCAAGTAAGCGTCTATTCCGACAAAGAATACTTATTTTTTCTTTTTATTTATGCTTAGAATTTCAATGAAGGTTTTTGCTTTTGTGGTTTGGGGTTTACTGTGTTAGGCCGTGTGTGTGTGTGTGTGTGTGTGTTACAATTGTGTTCTTGTGCCATTCTGGAATTTTGCAGAACAAAGAGTGTAACACTGATCACTCCTGAGATTGTGGTANTGTTTGATTAAGGGCCCATCAAACACGCTAATTCATTTCACTTCTTCAGACTTCTCTGTACGTTTAATTCCTCTTTCATATTGAAACGAACTTACCAGTTTTTCCTCTTTGTCGGTGTCACTAAATATTGTTTCTCTTCGTTTTGTTATTTATAGGATTGAACTGCATTTTGGATGGTAATTGTTCAGCATGCAGATCCCAGTTGGGAGTGGACTAGGGAAAGTGGTTGTCGTTGAAGCTGCCGGGCTGACTGCGTTGTGCCCGGAGAAGTTACGCACATCAAATTACTTGAGCTTAAAGTACATTCTTTTCTTTTCCTCTGCCTTTTGTGAAAGTAGTGTTTACACTAGCAATAGCATTGCTAATAGTAGTGTTTGGGATTTAACCGAGACGGCCAGCAGTAGTTATGCGGCAATGACCGACGCGACAAGCATGGCGTACTTGCCTCAGACTGTTGTGTTGTGTGAGCACCGACATGATGCTTTCGAGGACTGCCTGGCCTCGGGGCTATCGGAGAGTGGTTTAGTTCCCAAATGGAGACCTCGGGAGCGAGTGACTCTTGAATGCCTTGCTGTTCTTTTTTAGAATTATATTTGGTAAAGTTTTTTGTTTTGGTTTTCATTTTTGTTAACAATATGTCAATATATTCGCTTAATCTTCAGCGCCTGAGTAATTTATTTGCTGTAAAATTGCAAAAATGTGGTTGCGATTTAGATGTACTATATAGTGTTATAACTCGAGTTCGCTGCTGTACTTGGAGTCTAAACAAAAAGTTGATAATCATATGTATGTTGTAGTGCAAAAGATGACTGGTAGTAGCAGTTGTTGTGGTGCTTGTGTTCCAACATTATTTTGGTGATGATTTGTCATGCACTACGTGTAATGAAGATAAAAACTATTGCTTTCATATCTAATAGCAGTGCATTGCTGTCATCTTTTTACTAACATGTGATTAGTTTTGTTCTGTATTAGAGATGTGTAGCAACGTTTTAATACGACATGCAAAAGTTCTTAATTTGAGAACTGGAAAAAAGGCTCCACAAGGAATTGGTTTTATCTTCCTTTTACCTTTCATTTCCCTTTTTTCTTCTTTTGCCATAATCCCTTTTTTACCATGATCCTAAAATTCTCTTCATGTAGTCAGCCATAGTAATCTGGTTATCCCGAGTTTTGTTATTTCATAATAAAGTTGTTAACCTAAATAAAGATACTCTATCTCTGGGGGTTGAATGTGAAGTCTTGTATTCCTTTGTCTTTCTTTCTTTTTTGGTTATCTCAAAATTTGCTGATATTATTATTTTCTTTTAGTGTTGCTTGAATTTAATAGTGTTTGTTGACTGATGGCTGCATGAAATGGTCTCTAAATTATATTACATGTTTTATAATTGAGTATAAACGCATTTTAAAATTGCTAATGTATAGAGAAAGTAGACTTAAGGATTTAGGGAAAAAGATAAAGGCGATTAAAAATCAAATGCAGGTTGCTTTAAGAACCTCAAGGTATGTTTTGTTGAAATGTATAACTGAATGACCGGGGGGAGAAACCTTATTTATTTTAGACACTTACCATAACACCAGCTCACTGTTTTCTACCTATCAAAATATATTTTTAATGATTATCGGAATTTTGCTAGCATGATTGGTCAAAATACTAGAGACAGGGCAAAACATCAGAATTAACTAATGTTTATTTTATCTAATATTGAGTTTGTTTAGTATTAATTTACTAAATCCATTATTCATGTTACTTGTGCACTTAGGGCCATGAGAGTGAACAGGAGAGGCTTGTAAAGGAGATGAAGAAGCTCAAAACGAACAAGCTACGCTGGGCTGGAGACCCAACTAGCTGCTTTGAAGAAGCAAATTCATGATCTCGACACAGAAGTAGATTCTCACAGAGCTAAGGTACATTAAAATTCAGTATACTACCATAAGAGTCTCTAAATAAGCCTTTTGTCGGTAAATTCTGATTGGTCAAATGTTCTTATTATAGGTGTCTTCTAGAAAACAGGATCATGATAAGGTCCAATCGGAGCTCAATAATGCCTGAAGGAAGATACAGGAATGCGATACACAGACATCACTCACACGGAAATCGGATTTACACCCAACAGGATTCCAATGATAGCGTGTTGGATTTACAGCATTGGCTTTGAATGGCAGAAGATTCTTACTGGATGCCGTATTGTTTTCAGCAGAGTATTCCCAGTCGGTGAAGCCAATCCACACATGCATCCACTGTGGTAGACAGCTGAACAATTTGGTGCTGTTTGCACTAACCAGATAGACAAAAAGGTTACTCATGTTGTTGCAAATTCTCTTGGAACTGATAAGGTACTTCGTCCATTCCTCACTAGGTTATCATAATTTAGTGGTTGCCTCTTTTATTTGATGATGATGATACATTGGCTGAAATTAATATATTCTATATTGGATAGCCATTTGCAGTACATAATCCAAAGGGATTCATGGGATTTTTAACCTTCTGAGGAACGCAACATTAATTTCTAAGCTCATGAACAGGTGAATTGGGCTCTCGAGAGGGGAAGGTTTGTCGTGCATCCTGGCTGGTAAATCGAATTCACCAATTCTTCCCTTTTATTTTGACTTTACGAGTCTGCTGTCACATTGAGTTTACTCGGTTTACAAAGATTATCATTGTCGTTTGTCAATATACATAATTGACCGAAACATCAGTACATAGTAATATTTTATAGATACCACACGTCATTATCTATGATAGTTTTTGAATTAGAGAAAGGAAAGGGACACCTATATTTCAGTTCCTGGGAAGTTGGACGAATGTGGAGGTTAATGGTGCAATAATTTGGTTGCTGATATTTAGATGGCTATAAATAAGGAACTCCTAATTGTAGATGTCTCTTCATATCTATGTATGATCGAAATGATTTCACATTTTAATAAATTTTACTAAATTCTAATTTTCTTATTGCAGAAATTGGATTTTCGGCAGGCGTAAAATACATTGATCCAACTTACATGATCCATCCATGTCGTGCAAGTGCATCGGATGGAATTCTTTGGCCAAGATATTGCAAGTCCTCTTCTTCCTATTTTGCAATGCCATTACTTTTCCCTCGAAAGTCATCTTTTGAGTGTCTAGAATCTTTAAATAAACAGAAGCTAGAACTTTTGTTTGAGAGCTTTGATAAAATCGGTCATGGAGTGCATGTAATTTTGAATTCCTTAAATGACATCCTAATGTAAATGATTGGACAATTTTTGGCTATGCAAGAGCACTGTAATAAATTCTTATTTTAGAAACAACGCATATTAAGAAAAGTTTTTGTCAATTTTTTGTCCAAACTATATGATGAGCTTAGCTTGAACTCTGGCTGAATGACATGTATGAATGACACGTAAGTGTACGAGAATCTTATTGTAGGGTAGACAGGTTCAGAATGATTAATGTGTTTTTCTCATGTGAATATATGTTGAATTTGATTTAATCATTGAGATTACTCAATCATACAGGATTTATGATATGTTATGTATATATGTTACCAACTGGAGAGGAAAATTCAGAGCTTGAGAAACATCTCGAAACTATATTAGTGAACGAGGAAAGGAAAATGAGACTTCCACAGCAACTCTATACTTGGTTGTTCCTTCGTTGCTGAGTTAATCGATGTTCGTTCCGTGAGTGGCTCCTCTCTGTTCGATTAACTATAATGAAGCCGGTAAAATAACTGTTATGACCGGGTAGTTGGGAGAGGCTAGGGCCCAACTCAACTTTAGGATGGGTGTTGTTCCGGGAGGACTATAAATGAGGAGGTCAAGGGAGACCATTCTTTCTTCTAATCGAGTTTTGGTTGAACGAGGTTTTCGTGCTTGATCAATCAAGTAAACAATCCAATCATCGTTAGTGAAGAAGAAAGAAAAGAGACTATGAGCTAGGATATACTACTCTATGTCATGACACCCCTTCCGCAATGTTATTTTGGGTGCGGTCTTCAGCTTTTTCTCTGTATTGTAGGTTTCGATTAGGTAAGATTACACAGCAATGTTATTTTGGGTGCGGTCTTCAGCTTTTTCTCTGTATTGTAGGTTTCAATTAGGTAAGATTACACACTATTTTGTTGTTCAATGTTTTTTTTTTTCAATGGATACATGACAATCATATTCTTAATTGTGAAGTGATGACAGAATTATATGTTTAGCTAACACAATGTTGTCCCATAAAAGATGAGTGGATATAGGCCGGCACAGCCGGTGGACCAATTAGTATACAGCCCAAGATCTATTGTTTGTTTCTCATATGCCCTGCAACAAAGGCATATGCAGATCATGAAGCATCACTGGGAAACTTTCAGCAGCCACTGGCATATATACAAGCTTGACATCCAATGTGTGAATTGCGGAAATTTCTTCAGCACAAAGGTTCTTTTGGAGGCTCACTACTGCCAGCGAGCTCCTCACCAACATCACCACCACCATCTCCTCCTACTGACAGCTCCGGGGGTGCTCCACCACGACCTTCACCTCCTGGAAAGAAGAAGGGCTGGAAGAAGAAGACTTCCAAGGGGAAGTCCAATAGCAAGAAATAGCAAGAAGAAGGGATAATGAAGTGGTTTTGTGGCTGGGTGTAGTACATTCCTGGAGGATCTATTGTGATTGAAATTTCTCTGCTTTTGAACTAATTGTCACTTAACTATGAGGTTTTGAACTAATTATTGTCCAAAACCTCATAGTTAAGTGACAATTAGTTCAAAAGCAGAGAAATTTCAATCACAATAGATCCTCCAGGAATGTACTACACCCAGCCACAAAACCACTTTATTATCCCTTCTTCTTGCTATTTCTTGCTATTGGACTTCCCCTTGGAAGTCTTCTTCTTGGAAGTCTTCTTCTTCCAGCCCTTCTTCTTTCCAGGAGGTGAAGGTCGTGGTGGAGCACCCCGGAGCTGTCAGTAGGAGGAGATGGTGGTGGTGATGTTGGTGGAGAAGGAGCTCGCTGGCAATAGTGAGCCTCCAAAAAACCTTTGTGTGAAGAAATTTCCGCAATTCACACATTGGATGTCAAGCTTGTATATATGCCAGTGGCTGCTGAAAGTTCCCCAGTGATGCAGATCAATGATCTGCAGATGCCTTTGTTGCAGGGCATATGGGAAACAAGCAATAGATCTTAGGCTGTCCCTCATCCATCCGCTGCTTCTCTTCTTCCTCGCCTTCCGGCAGCAATCCAAGATCGCTTTTCAACGACAAAGCAGCCATCTGCGTTGCTTCAAGCCTCACCCATAGCAGGCGGTTGCTTTCCTCAGCCTCCTTCTCCTTCTTCTCCAACTGTGAAAGCTGCCATGTCAACGTCCGAGAGATCACCGCTTTTCATCTCACTTATGTTCCTAATGTTCTCTTCAATATCATATTGAAGCCAACCCATATGATCTTCAAGTTCTTGAAGGACTTTCTTCTTGTTCGTGAGGTCTGCTGGATCTGGAGCAGACACATTGCATAGAGTTCTTCCACCTTTCTTTGCCAAAAAAAAAAAAAAAAATCAAAAATGAATATTGTGGCAAGGTTCAAAGCAAAGACAAAAGTGCAACAGATTACAGAGCATCACTACAAAACATTACAAAGCGTGTTATGATAACTGGGAAAGGAAATATGATTTACATGAAAAATTTCTTGCATTTTTATTATTCATTCCTCTGTTTCTGTGTAATGTTAATTAATTATTAATAAAAAAAATATGATTTATGATTTTCCAACTGAGACTCATTTGAAAAATCGAAAGGTACATGAAAGCACGTATCCATCTTTCTGTCACACACACCAAAAGATCTAATATATGAAAGAAAAATCCCCACAATCATAATAACAATTACAGATTCATAATTTTCAAGGAAATCTGCAGTTTTTTTAGTATAATGCTGAACACGTCTGCACACAAATCTATTTACTAAACCTCAACATTTTGTTTCAAAATCAAAACTTTTGTTTTACATGACAGAAGTATCCAAAAACAGGAGCCTGTCAAAAGAACAAACACATGGCAGGCAGTTACAAACACAAAGGAGAAAATACCAACAAGACTTAAAAAAAGAACTAAACCCACAAGATTCAGTAAACTTGAAAGTTTGTTACAAATTACATAATTATTGCTGAGAATAAAGAATCAAACATCAAAGTTTGTTACAAATTACATAATTATTGCTAAGAATAAAGAATAAAACATCATGCTTAAGAATTAAGACCTTTTTTTTTTCATCAGTAAGAGTAAGAAAGACTTAGCTAAAAAGGATTGCAGAGAAACAGTGAGAGGGACTGTGTTAAGGCATAACCAAGTTTCATCGCTGCTCATGCAAAACGTGGGATTTGGGAAGGAAGGAGTAAAGGACCTAACACACTAAATATTGACAGATTGCAGAGTAAAGAAATTACCAAACGTCCATGGTTGTGCTTCCTGAAGAAGAGGACGATCTGACAAGGCTGGCCTCCCACCTTCAAAGAAGATGACTCATTAGCAAAGACTTTAACTAAATGAGACCACTAATCAACAAAAGAATTTGAACCCTAAGCCCAAACAAAACCAAATACTAACTATGAACTCAGATTCCCACAACAATTTCATTTATTACCATACCTGCGAGAGGCCTCCACATGCTTCTGTGCTGTGAAAAAATGGAAAACCCTGTAATGGCGCATTAGCATATCGAATGATAGATCTATCCAAATCTAGATCTGGATAGTCCAGATCTAGAGATTCTTCGATTTTTTTTTTTGTGTTTCCAGATTTAGATTTGGATAGATCTATCATTCGATATACTAATGCTTTGCCATTACAGGGTTTTCCATTTTTTCACAGCACAGAAACATGTGGAGGCCTCTCGCAGGTATGCTAATAAATGAAGTTGTTGTGGGAATCTGAGTTCATAGTTAGTATTTGGTTTTGTTTGGGCTTAGGGTTCAGATTCTTTTGTTGATTAATGATCTCATTTAGTTAAAGTCTTTGCTTATTGAGTCATCTTCTTTGAAGGTGGGAGGCCAGCCTTGTCAGATCGTCTTCTTCTTCAGGAAGAACAACCATGGACGTTTGGTAATTTCTTTACTCTGCAATCTGTCAATTTCTTTACTCTGCAATCTGCCAATATTTAGGTAGTGTGTTAGCTCCTTAGGTCCTTTCTTCCTTCCTTCCCAAATCCCACGTTTTGCCTGAGCAGCGATGAAATTGGTTATGCCTTAACACAGTCCCTCTCATTGTTTCTCTGCAATCCTCTTTAGCTAATTCTGTAAAAAGGTCTTTAATTCTTACTGATGAAAAAAAAAAGGTCTTAATTCTTAAGCATGTTTTATTCTTTATTCTTAGCAATAATTATGTAATTTGTAACAAACTTTCAAGTTTACTGAATCTTGTGGGTTTAGTTCTTTTTTTAAGTCTGGTTGGTATTTTCTCATTTGTGTTTGTAACTGTCTGCCATGTGTTTGTATGTGTTTGTTCTTTTTACAGGCTCCTGTTTTTGGATACTTCTGTCATGTAAAATAAAAGTTTTGATTTTGAAACAAAATGTTGAGGTTTAGTAAATAAATTTGTGTGCAGACGTGTTCAGCATTATACTAAGAAAACTGCAGATTTCCTTGAAAATTATGAATCTGTAACTGTTCTTATGATTGTGGGGATTTTTCTTTCATATATTAGATCTTTTGGTGTGTGTGACAGAAAGATGGATACGAGCTTTAATGTAACTTTCTATTTTTCAAATGAGTCTCAGTTTGAAAATCATAAATCATATTTTTTTTATTAATAATTAATTAACATTACACAGAAACAGAGGATAGTCCAGATCGAAGAATAATTAATTAATAATTAATAATTTTTATTAATAATTAATTATTAACATTAATTAACATAAATCATATTTCTTAAGCCGGGCCTGGTATACACCAAAAAAATCAAAGAATCTCTAGATTGGAAACACAAATAAAAAAAAAAAATGTTACCATTTTTGAGAAGTCGAAGTCGAAGGGATCTCATCATGGTCAGGTTTTCAGTTTTCTGGAGAATGGTAGTTGCTAGGTTTTTCTTTTAGTTTCAGTTTTCTGGAGAATGGTATTGGCGAGAGGATTTTTTGAGGGCTTTTTATTTTGCGTTTGGACTTTGGTCATGTTTTTAAAAATAAAATTAAAATAGGAAAAAAATCACTTACGGATGGCATGTCTCCTCTGATCTACGAGACCCTTAGTGGCGCGGTTAGAAAAGAGTTACTCCCGTTGTGTACCAGGCCCGGCTTAAGACATTGACTTAGGTAGAGTCGGAATTAAACAAATTGTTTAAAGAAAAATTGAAATTAAGTTAGTAAATAATTCATAACAAAACTTAAATATATAATCAACAAAATATATAATTTAAATATAAAATTGAATTAAGGTTTACCTGCGTATACATATGAAAGATCTACCCAAAAATCCACAGATCTACCCAGATCCGAGCGAATTATGCACGATCAGGATATCTTCTATATCTTCCGCCGGCCACGGATCAA